AATTTAAAATGTTTATTGTTTTTGATATTTAATCTTCACTATAAGTTTAAAACAGTTAGCTTTTAGAAGTGTAATAGCATGCATGTTTATTTAAAAGTTAATCTATATGTAAAATGTTCTACAATTTGCCAAAAACGAATGGTACATTAAAATTAAATGTATAACTTATTTGATATATAGTATGTAAGAATTCTATTAATTATTTTTTCAGTAAATCTTTTTGATGATAACTGAAGAGGGATTTCAAAGTATATGAATGTCTGAAATGCGTCTGAAAACTCAATAAATATTCAATCCAGTTTTTAAGTGGTCTGATTGCAAAAGTTTGTTTAAACAGAAAAATTCTTCTGATACACATACTTTAAATTTCCTAAATTTATATAACGGAAATTTAACTTTAGAGATCGTTTTATTAACAATATAACTACAGTAATTTAACCAGTTTTATAAAATTTTTAAATTTTTGCAAAACTCGGAAGTTTTAAGTAGAAGAAAGAGAAAAATTTTCTTCTGGAAACTTAGCATCGATCTATTTATATGTAAGTTGGTCAATAAAGCGAGGATCCATTTTAGTACGCTAATGACGAGAACGATATTATGATTAAAGTCAGGCACGCAACAAGAGGGAAAAGAAGCCAACATCCAATCTTCAGTTGGCCACAAAGATAGGATAGGTAGATGTTCTTTCGTACTACCAATTTTTCCCCTTTTGGCGATATCTGCCCAGGGAAAATCTAGTCGTCACTTCCTAATCGATATATCGAGAAGAGATCAGTTGGAGTGACAGAAATGATAAGCCAGGCTGTTGTACAACTCCCTTTCTCACTGACATATCAGTTTGGTACGAAACCGGTTGACAAAGTAGGAAATTTTGCTGACTTTGCGGTGACATAGCGGTTTCTTTAGTTTTTCTTTTTTCAAGCAAAAGAATACATTGTTAAAATAATAATGAATAATCTTTTTTCCATATCTGATGCCATTCCATTAAAAATTCCAGTGAACTCACCATAAATTTAATTTTAAAAAAATTCACGATCGTATCTTTTCATTAATTCTAAAATTTTACTAAATTATCCCAAATTTTTCACAAAAAATTATTCTGAAATTTTATTATACAAAATTATGGAATTTCCGTTCATTTAAAATCGATATTAGTTTCACGAAGTAAAGATTTATGATTAGAAAAATTCAATAATTCTTGGGTAATTATCAATTTTTACCAATTTTATCCTTATTTTCTATTAAAAAAATATTTAATATTTTTACTAAGCTATAAATTAAATTAAGAAAAAAATTAGATAATAAATATCTTCTATTGAAAATTCATAATTAAAATTCGTTTCTTGAATTTAAGTAACCTATATTAAAATTATTTTGTCATTTTAAACTTAATTCTATCTGCATATTTATTAGAGAGAAGAGGAAAAAAAATAAAATTTTTAGTAGAAAAATCCAATAATTTACTAAAATAATCTCGAATTTTCATTAAAATAATAGCAAATTTTCAGTAAATTGCAAGCATTATAAACCTCATCTAGTAGTAATTTACGATTATACTAGGAATTTGTATAATCGTAAATTTTCCTAGTTTGAAGTCATATTAATTTCCTTCAGTAATTATTCAATTTTTAATTATAGTTTTACATAAATAGAAAAAGAAGATTTAAAAGAAAAACAAATTTATTATTATTATTTTTTTTAAATCTCAGATAAAAAATAAATGAAAAATTTTCATCTAAATAATTATAAAGTGCATTTTAATTAAATGACATTTAAACATTACAGGTGGGAATCGTGTTATGATTAAAATCTAAATATAGAAAATATTTTTAAGAAAAATAAAATGAAACTTGAAATTTTCTGGATTTTATTTTAAAAGATAACGACATTTTAAACTTTCTTATTTCAGAAAGGAAGTAGTAGAAAATTGGAACTTTAATTATTCCATTATTGTGTAAAATTCTACCGAAGACAACAATTCAAATAATTTCCTGTTCGTGCACACTTCCGCATTAAAGACAGGAAATAAAAGTTCAAACAAAAGCTTATTCGAATACGTAAATCTAATTTAAAAAAATAGATATATACATATATAAGAAATATTTAAACATAGATAACATTTCATAAATCACATTGGTTTCCATTAAAAAAAGTTTATAATATTTAATCTAGTCCAAATTTGCATTCTGTGTAGATAGTATTACATCACGCTTTAATTAGCAACCATTTATTGAGAAGTATTTTTTTTTCTTAATTTATGGAAATATATCATATCAAAGAATTGTAATTTCGCTCTTTCCATAATGTTAACATCTATCTACTTCCTAATTAATTCTGACACTGACTAATTCAGGACACGACTCGAGACACGCCTCGCTTCAAATGTCAGGTGGTCAACAGAGAAATGTACTCAAATATATCCATTAGTTTATTGTAGAAAATCATTTCTAGATTCCTTATATGTCCTAGTTAAGATTTCTGTGCTACTTGTTAAATTAACTAGTTTTCGAACAGCTAAATCTTGGTGTTAAACATGGAGATGTAGGGATATTTGTTGAACGCCATCAACATCGCCTTAATCATTTTTAAAAGTAACACTTTGGGTGGATAAATCATCATTTATCTCCGTATGAGGGAGGACATAATGAACTCGGGTTGTGCGATCACCAAAATGAATTTAAAATCTACTTCTGATGAGCAGAATTAAGCGCTTAAAAAATGAGCATTCGATCATTATGCTAAAGTATGCGACTTAAATAAATTTCTAATCTTTCATGCAATTTAAATTATATATATATATATATCCATGACCTGATGAAGTGTAAAGGTTGCTTTAAATATTTAAATAAAGAAAAATATTAATATAGTTAACGCGAAAATAGTTGCTAAATTAAAGTTTCAATCTCTTTCTCACATTATATATTAAACATTTAAATTTAAAGAAGAGTACTGTTTAAAAAAAAAGTAAAACAATAATTAATTTTTTCCTTGCTTTTCTCATTTAAGCAGTAAAATTAACGCAGAGATACGGAAAATTTTAATTACTAACATAAATTCTAGATGAGGTTGTTTCTTTATATTTTTAAAATTAGTCTTACAAGAATGCGGTTTTTAATATCTAAAAGGTCTGAAAAATCAAATTATTTATATAAGTTTAAGATGAAAACATTAATAATATATATAAATAAAGTTGAATGATTAATTAATTTTTTATTACAAATGGAAACTTTTTCTGTGAGAATAAGCTAAAATTTAATTATTAATTTTGAAAATAGAATATAATAATATTAATACACTTATATAATTAATTTTTTTCAATTACTATTATTAAATATAATATAATATTTTCTAACGATAATGATCTAAAAACTGGATTTTTATTATAAATAAAATAAAGTAACAAATTTAAATAATTACTTAATTATTATAAATGTAAACAATACAACACGTTTTATATAAAAATAATGTGATTTTACATAAAAATAATTTAAAGGTGAAGATTTTTAACAAGTATTTGATTCTATTCTAGTTTTCTTCATCTTTTGTCGTAACTAGACAGCTAGTGAGGTGTACGTCTTGCACCTTGTTTGCATTTAATTATGTTCTATTCTGTAAGCAGCGACTAGGCTGACAGCTAGCTAGTCACGTTGTCATTACCTAGCAGGGATATAGGAGAAAGCATCACAACCAAGGATAGGGCAAGATAATTAAGTGAAAAGTACGCTGAATTTCGAACTACTGATGACTAAGGTCGTAATTTACAGGAAACTGCTTCTTTCCCGCACTGAAAATTTAATTACCAAAACTCTCAACGTTGTTTTGTTTCCTCCATTTCCCAATTAAAAGCTGGACGACCAAATTACACAATAAATGTGACTATATTTGCCGAAAAGCGAACTAAAGATAGAAGTTTTAGTTAAATTGCATGAGCAAATATGTTTGCTCACAAGTTTTCTTTTACATAATATATACAAATATTTGTTTTGGAACTGTAAAAGAGATTTTTTTCCTCTTCGATTATTCATACATCGAAATTATACAAGCGTTATTAAATTTCAGTGCTTTTAATAGTAATCCTTCAAAAAATGAAAATATGAAACTACCCTCATTTCTATGCTAATTGAAAAAAATATACAGTACCAACAAAAAATGTTTTTGTAAGATCAAAGACTTTTTTAATGTTTTTGTTTGAACATCAATCATTAATTATTCAAAATTATCAGAGCCCACGTAGGAAGCTAAAAGCTGATAGGAAATGTAGAAACGTACGAAGTTTTGTATTATATTTGCATATCTTTAAGGTTTAATTCAATTAAATCAAACATTGTTCAGACTGTACGAGTGTTCTATGCTGATAAAATAATTCAATAAATTTAAGCATAATATTTAATTCATGCGTTTCGAATGCCTATTGTACATATCTCGACCAGAGCTACTTCAGTTTAATTTTCTCATATTGTTGCATTTCTCATAAACATATTGATTCAAAGATGTACATCAGGAATATTCAACGGATACAGGATGCGGAAAGAGTTGTAATTATACTGAATTTCGGTTAAACATTTCTTCTTTTTTTTTTCTTGTATCGTTTAGCTCGGTTAATTGCAATTATCGCGATGACTTTCTCATTGCCTGCGCGTTAAGAAATTCTTATCTCTTCTTGGTATAATTTAAGCGTGAATGAGCAACAAGAGTGTGGAGTTATGCCGTAAGGAATACGATGAAGTAATTCTAGTGACAGCACATTGATAACGTTGGGTATAATTAAATCAAACTCTTTATGCTAATGAGCAAGTTTAAGTAATAAATGAACCATGGAGACCATCTGTTGACTGCGGCTTACTTACCATGCAGTGTTAACAAAATACAAAAGATCGATCAGAAAGAACCGAGAAAACTTTAATTGGAATTTTGCCAATGAAAAAAAATTATTCTAAAATTTTCATAATTTATGTAGCGTAATTTTAGATACGGAAAGGGAATTTGCAGTTATAACTCACCTGCTCTGACAATAACATCCCTACTTCCGATTGTCCCAGCAACATTGCTTGCCACACACCTGTAGACAGCTGAATGGACGTCTTGCCTATAATCCTCGGCAGGAAAAGGTGAGAACACCAGAGATCCATCTGGTCTTATATGTCTCAATCCAGGTATATCTCCCACAGAAGAACCATCCTTTTTCATCCAACTTATTGAAGGTGTTGGAATACCACGAGCGGTACATGGTATTACGGTGCCGGTGGAGTTAAGAAAATCTATTCTGCTGGCTGGTTCCATAACAAAAGAAGGACCCACCCTATCATGATTTGCAGAAAAAGCTGGGAAAAAACAAATAAATTCTAAGAAAAGAACACAGTATGCAAAAAAAAATAGTTTTATTTATTACTAAGAACTTATAAACGTAAATCTTTCGAAAATGCACACGCTGTGCCTATATCCTACATATGCATGACCCAAAATGTTTTAAATTCCGTCCTAATGGATTTCAAGGACTTCGAAACTATATCAACAAAAAATATATTTAAAAAATGCTGCATTATAATAAAATAAAATAAATTACTTCGAATTTTTATTCGATATAAAAGTGAAAGCATCCATCAATAATAAATGCATAATATATAACTTTACAAACTTCTCTTTTTTAAAAAATATTCTTTGATCACGCTATCTAATAGAAATTCAAATTGAGAAAAAATACATAAAACTACCTTAACATTTTATTACTTTCAATTAAATGTATTTTAATTCAAATTTTGCGTTTTAAAACTAAACGAGAAAATAACATCCATGCAAAATTCCGATTCAAAACATAAATAGAAAACGAATTAAAAAAAAGAAGTTAACGGTTTATTACTATAAAAAAAGCATAAAACTTGAGATATTAATCTAATATAATTATCAAATTTCTAGTTTTGTAACTACTAAAAATCAATGGAGAAAAATTAAACACGTGCATATCTTACCTGAAGTAATCCAGAGAAAAATGAAAATTATATATTTCCACCACCAAGGTATCATGGCGTGAGGTATGTCACATCAACGTCACATAATTATTCCTAGTTGTTGTAGAGGCAGAAGTCCAAGCGAACAGTCACGAGGGTCAGAAACGAGCAACTGTTTAGAGCGAGAGTACCACCGACTGCCACTGCTTACTCACCCCCTTACTAGGCGCAGTGGCTTCAGCCCGACGATGCAGCCATCAATAACGGACTCACCATAGTTACGCCCCTGACAGCAACCCAGTGTCGAATTGCCTGTGGCCAATTATTAACAGATGTCAGTCAATGGTTGTCCGTTGTGTCTAGTCGAACTGTCCAGCACTCTCTAACTCTGACAGAGCTACAGTGAAATGGCACATCCGAACAGCTAGTGGGAGCACGCTAGGCGTTAGGCGCCAGCTGCCTCTGATGAGATTTTGCTATCCATTCACTTCTGTAAACCAATGCACCGCACGTTAAGAGGATTTTACATCTCGGTCTTAAGTTTCTTCTTCTTTTAATGCTAAAGATGCAGTAAGCTATCTCCATTGACCGAAAGGACAAGTTAAATCTTACGCTGCACCAAATGAACCTTTGTATAGTACCAATAAAAGCAGACTTGATACTGCGCTTGGTGGATTTTCTGCTTCACTTTCTATCGAATGATTAATGATATGCGAACAGTCGATCGTAAAACTTGACTAGGTAAAGTACAGTTGACTTAATAGATTTTTAGCCACAGTTGTTTAATATATTCCATTTCCCCTTTCTAGTCAGATCACCTTTAAGTTAAATTTCGTTTCTAAAGTAGCATATCCTTATTTTACAGTTGATTCGCTCCGATAATTATACGCGAATACTGTTCCTTTACAGCGTATAAATTATTGATCTCGATATTTTTATCTGAAACGTTTATATAAATTACAACTATTTATGTTTGAAAAATGCATATAAAATCCGATTAGATTGTAAATATAGCAAATATTTTTATCATGATAAACTGCTCAAAGGCTATCTAGAAAGAAAAATATAGCTTTATTGAAAATCTTCTTTATCCAGCTTTTTTATGCTAACTTTTAAATATGTTTTTAAACTTTTATATGTAGAATTCACATATATAAATGCATTTTCAAAATAAAATAGTCTATTCTATTTTTTAATTGCAACTTTTTACTAGTTTCTTAGCTTTGAAGTCTTTAAAATGATATTGGAAGGAAGGAAATGCTTATATTAGTCACCAGGAAGTTAACTATATTCTAATGTGTATATTAACAAATTAAAATAATAAAAAAATATGTATAAAAATGCTAAGATAGTCAGAAATAAATCACAGCGCTTGCTAGTCGCATTCAAAAATGTTCTTGCATCTGTCACCTTTTAACATACGGAATTAATGTCTTATGTTATAAACAAACCAGTTCCATTATTCATAAGGAAAGTCAAATTTTCAAGTCGTTACCGTGGCAACAGATCTTTGCGATCAATAAACTATATTGATTATTCTATATAAATAATTATCCATCCAATGTTCATTTTCTGCTTCAGTTGATATCATTTCTAATGAATGGAAAAATAATAGGAAGATGTGAATAACCGACCAAGATCTCCCTTCTAAGAAAGTTATTGCTATATACATGAAATTAATAATACTTGAACGTATTATTTTCTACGGTTCATCTACGGAGTGAATGCGATCAGTTCTAAGAAGATTATTAATTAGAGAGGCAATTAATAACGAATAATTGCACGAACCCCAATCAATGGTCGATCCTTAACATCTTTTTGATCTTTCGATCTCTTTATTAAAGTTAAATAATACGTAAGCTTTGCAACTAATTTAATTTAAATATGTTTAAATTTGAATAATAAATGTTATACAAAAAAAAGTCACAAAAACTACTAAAGTTGAAAGATCGTCCCTAAAGTTTGACTGCTTGTGCAGTTGCACTGATAAATTTTGTATTTCACAGCTGCTGAACCGGCTAGAGAATTTATAAAACTATAAAAAAAAAAAAAAGTAAAAGTAAAATTTTACGAATGGATGCAAGTTATTAAAATTTCGAGACAAATTTACTTTCTTAAATCTAGTCCAAGTTTAATTTCAATAAGAAAAATGAAAAATGTGCATTTATTGTGCTAATTTTAATAATAAACTAAGCCTTTTGAAATTCGATGAATTTTCAATATTTGTTCACTGAAGCACAGACATCGATAGATGCAACATAAAAAAAAGAAAGAAAAAACAAGGAAAGAAATTCTTAAGCAGTTTTTTTATATGTGCACTCACGCGTCCAACAACCGTAAAAATACGTAAGAGTTGAATATTTCATAAAATCATGCAGTAAGAGGCTGTAGGCAGGAAAATAAATTTGTCCGCACGCTAGAAAAGTTAACTGACAGTTCCTAGCCCGAAGCTTGACTGTCAGACAATTTTTTATATAAAAAAAGCGAAGTTTTAGAACGAGAATAAGTAAACTAGTGGAAGAGAAAAGAGAAGACAAAGTCACTTGGAAAGAACTAATCCTGCTCTTCTGAAGATTAGGCTACTTACAAACCTGGCGTGTAGAAACTAGTACTGTAACTAAGTGACAAGAAAAGGACGGAAATCTGCTGGTCGGTGAGTCACTACCAATCTATAGCTGAAGACACAATTGAGATAACGCACGCCATTTACAGACCTCGGGGTGTACTGTAGATGGTAGGAAAAAGAAAAACTCCGTAATGGTTGACTAATTGGACGTACTGCAGGGTTAAAGAGACATAAATTCCAATGGCTACTTTTCATCACATAGGAGAGACACTACAATTAAGAACCAGTCAATCGTGCATTGATCAAGAGCATCCAATTAAATATACAATAGAACTCTCCTCTTTCATCTTAACTTTCTAGAAAAGATTTTCGATGAATTTAATTTACCGATACCATTTCTGGCTAACAAACCTCAATCCGAGGATTTATATACCTGGATTACGGATGTTGGAAGAATTGGTTGTCAATGTCTTTTATTTTTACCATTAATTTAATAGTGAAAATTCTTCTCCTTTTTTTGGAACTTGGCCAATAGATAAATCATTGAACCAGATAGACATAGATTTACCATCTTATTGTATCGAACAGAATACGATGATGCTTAGTTAAACAGTCATTTCTTAAAGTTTCTATAATACTATTTACTTTAGTGCATCGTCTGTGAGACTGTTGATAAGAATATGGCTCTACTAAAAGGAAGTTCCGTCTACAATTTCACTATTCAAAAGGATGAATTAAGCTGATTTCTTTTCTTTGCTTCAACATTATTCAATCTGAAATTTAATCAACTGCCCATTTAGCAAAAACATTTCGTAAAAATAAATTTGTTTATTTTATTTTATTTTTTTAATATAAAAATTAAGCTGAGGAAATATGGTTTTTACTTCTTAACACGCTTCTAATAGGAAATTTGAATCTTGAATTGAATGAATGGAACTTTTTCATATCGAATTTTCTTACCATGAATTTAATTCGTGTAGCTAGAAAAAGGATAAAGTTACTTACCTGACAACTGAAAAACCTCAAGATAAAATATCCAAAACAGAATTGACGTTTTTTTGAAATGAAAGATCAGAGGAAAATGGCTACTGTATCCAATTTATCTTTCATCTTTATCAAAAGAAATTTAGTGTGTTGTGAGAAAGAAAATTCTTAGCATATACATACACATTTTATAGATATAAAAGTTTCTGAAAATAGTGTTTGAATTATATATAAGTAATCTGAATTCTCATTCAAAAGTGAGGAACATAATTCTTTTAACTAAATCTCGAATAATGAATGTATTATCGATGTTCGTTTCCTGTCATCTTCTACTCCATTTTTAATCAAAAATAAAAAAAATAATAAATTTTAAAATGTGAAAGATTCTTTGAAAGTAATTTAAAGTTCGTAGCTATCAATTTTATATTCTCAAAATATAATTTGTTACAATTTGAAACAATATCTGGGATAGTCGTTGATGATGGGCAACCAACGGTTTTAAAATGAAATCGATACAAATTTTCTTGCACAACCTGGCTAATTACTATCTGATCAATAAGAAACAGGTACTGAAAGCTAATAACAAAATAATCGCCTTCGCTTATTATGAAAATTAGGTTAGAGTTATAGATGTTAGAAGTAGTGAGATTTTTTCCACAAGTTTTGTCAGATACTACATCGCTTTAACCGTAAAATTGACCCATATAATATATATATATAATAAAAGAGTTTCATTACTAAACTTGACGCTATGCTGGTCTATAAAAATGAAAATTTTCCAATATAATTTGCACACACATAAAATATTTTTGGAAACGTGATTTCATTATCAATAGTTCAGTACGTCTATTTAATCTTAAACATCGTAGTAGTAGCAGTAAAATAATTGTGTCTATCAGGATTAGTATTTAATATCATAATAGTGTAATTGATGTACGAGCTTTAAATATGTTCAATAGAGATGGTGAGACAGAGAGAGAGTTAGTAAAGTGTTCAATAGTTTAACGCATTTAAAATGCCATGTAACAAGTCATCCAGATCTAATATGGCTGTAACAATTCGATTAGATAGTAGTGTTTATTATTAAGATCTGTTAACTTATTAATTTTAAAAATTAAATGTTTTTTATTTTGCTAATTGATATATTATGTAATCTATATAAAGATTCGCAGACTTTGTAGTGATTAGATAGATGCATATTATTCTTATATATCTATAAAATCATAAGCTCTATTGATTTACTTTCCATGAGATCCATTAATAAGTTCTGTAAATGCTAAAAGCATTACAAGAATCTCAATATATCTATCAATGCATTGCTGTATGAATGAAAGAAGTATGTTAGGATCAGATTACTAATGCATTCATTAGATTTACAGAATTTATGAATTTCATATACAAGACAAATGATTAGTTTCTTTATGGCTTAATTTACATGAAATATAGAGCTCAATAAACGTTCCATATTCAAAATTTACATTATATTAATGGAATTAGTAGAGGATACGGCTAAAAATATGCTAACTAATAAGTTCAATTACATTATAAAAATTTAATAAATGCATAAAGTTAGTGTAATAACTTAAAGAAACTTGTTAAAATTTAATTTTAAAAATTGGTTAAATTTACAGTATTAAATGTGTATAAAATAACTTCACTTATGATTATATAGTTATAAAAAATATTGTATCGTTATATATAAATCAAATTTTTTCTTATTAAATTTATAAAACCAAGGAAATTATACACCAATGATGTACGGCGTGATGTCTTTAAATTTTTTATTTAGTTTCTAAATCAAATATATATACATTTGATATAGAAACTGATCTTTATTTAGTATTTTGAGTTTTATTTATTATCTATATAAAATATTCTATAGAAAATTATACAATAGCGATGAAATTCAATATAGAGATAGTATGGTTAACCTTGTTTAACAATATATAAAATGTAGGTCTATATATATATATTTTTTCCTTATAAGAAACAAATTTAAGTGTTTCAATTGAAAAAAAATTTAAACTGTATATTTCTATTTTGAAAGATAAAACTAAATCATTTTATTTATAAGACTACATATCCACTTTATATAAGCCGAGTTATTATATAAACTTAGAGAAACCATTCCAGCAAAGTTTACTCTACGGGATAAGTTTAGTAAGCAATGCCAATGGACCTATTTTTCAAAGTCTAACTAACTAAATTATATGTAGTTACTGTTTACTCTGCTTTTCTTAATTGTTAAACACACAGACGACATTAAATTCTTATTAAATAGCTCTTGCTAAACTCTTGCCAAAATTTATCGATTCAAATAAAGTTTCGTGTTTAATAAATATAATTTATATACGTAAATTATATTATGTGTATAAAAAATAATAATCTGAACTGTGAACTTATTATATTTACGAAATGATAAGACTCGAGACTGGTTGTTTACATCATATTTTTCACTTGTTTTATTTCATTTTCTTTTTCTTTCAAATTCAATGCTTCACTAACAATCATTCCTATCGATTTTCAATTTTTTATTTTATTTCT